AGGCTTAAGCTTTCTAGCTCCGCTTTCAAATTTAGAGCTTTTCAACAACTGAGCACTCAAATCTCTGCTCTTGAGACCCACCCTGACACTCTCACCCCAGAACCCACTACCTTGGTTCCTAAGACCCCCTTTTCCGACTTTAAGCTGTTGGGTATTGGCCCTCATGGTCGCACAGCAAGAATCCATAGTTACAAAAAACACACTGCTTTCCAGAGATTCTATATCCTCTAATGCAAAAATGAGGAATCTTATATGAAAATGGTTTCCCTTATGCCTTTATGTAACAGAAAAGCAAAGCAAAGCACTTTCACAAAAAGCCCACCCAAACATTCAGCGTCACAAAAACAAAGAGGCACCCACCAGATCAGAGGCAAAATCAGCAATTCCCGGATCAGAAAATTGTATAAATAGAAAGAACCAGAAGTACCCCAGATGCCCAAAAGATGAAAACTTTAATACAACCCTGGTCTAACGTTTGGTTTATGACCACCAAGACCTGAAATGGGAGGTGATCAAAAGTGCTTGTGGTGGAGCCAAAAATGGCAAGTGGAAGAGAGTGAATGCCGGATTAAGGAGGGTGACTAATGATGGAGGTGGTGATTTTGGTGAATGAATGCGTGAGCGGTCACGGAAAAAAAAAATCTTAATATTTATGACATATATAATAGTGTGCACTTCTTGTTGCCAACTAGTAATTCTCTCTTCTCAGTAAATGCCACTGTGATCGAGTGTTTAGGCTTTCCAGCTCGATCGGGTTTTCGGAAGAGTCCTTCCTTAAGCAAAGGTCTTTCCATTTCAAACCCATTTGCGTTTATTTCATTTTTCTAAATTACATTTTGGGTTGTCTAAAATCTTATTTAGTATGTCAACGGGTCTAACCCAATAAAAAAGAGCATTAATTTGCAAACCAATGACTTATATATAATAGTGTCTGAAGAATTCCTTCCCCTTCATAGACTATCGCTTATATTCCAAAATAATAATAAAATTCTTATTTAGTATTCAAAGCCTACATCATTTATATGTCAAGGTGGCTTTTATTATTTGATACAGAATTGCATTTCTTTAATTTAATTGTACTGTTTTCTATGTAGGAAAAAATTTTAAACTTTAAATCATTATAAAAAATAGAATGCGGCATTTTTCGTTTTTCACCAGGAAAAAAAAAAGGGAGTTTCACTAAAACACCCAAAATAGGGGCTTAAATTATAAAAAAACTCAAGCACTATTTAAACATATAAACACACCCAAAACCCATTATTACACACACTCAAAATCCATTTATAAACACACCCAAAAAGTTGACTTTTGGGTTGATTTTGGGTGTGTTTCTATGTTTAAATAGTGCTTGGGTTTTTCTATAAATACATGTCTAGAATTGGGTTTATTTATAAATTTGTAAAAAAAAAATTACCCCAGTTTGCTGGATGACAATTTATTTAGTAGTAGCACCATTGTTAATCATTTTGAACAATACGTTTGGCCATTCTCATCATCTTCTAAAAATATATGTTGCCAGGTTTTGTCTGTCCCGCCACGATTTTCCTAATAAGAGGGAAAAAAAAAACAGAAATTAGTATATAGGTACTGTACTATTGTTTATACTTTATAGGAGGGATATGTCAAATGTTAAATGTAAAATATGAATTCGATGACTTATGTGGCAATTTGATACTTTGAAAAAAATTTAAAAATTTAACTTCGCCCTAAATGCAAAATATTATATTATATTATTTTATTTTTTAAAAACAAATGGAGTCCATATAATGCATAGAATTTTGAAAGAAAGTAAATAACAGTGAGGTCTATGACTAACAAAATACTAAAATAATATTTGATATCAAACTTTTAAATATATTATTTTTACATATCGCTTCTAGTCTTTAAATATATATGAGCAATTTTAAACTTTAATTTTTGTCGTTGAAAGGGACGATACATATTACATATGGGGGATTGTGTACCACGGAGCGATACACGGCTCATGTTTTGTGTGACGAGGACCCAACTAGCATATGACTACATGTGCATGTCATTTTTACACAGTATCTCCTTCTTGTCACTTAGGCCCCTCTCACCGAATCCAACGGTGGATATGCTGTGATATATCTCATAATAATATTATATTATAAGATCAAATATCTTTCTTTTGTCAGTCAAATCAAATATATGAAACCAAAAGTGAACATGATCATGCGTACCTTTGAATGGAAAAAGACATAACGTAAATTACTTTATTATTATTATTTTTTTTAGTCACAAAAACAGTATAAACTACATAGGGATTCGAACCTAAAATCTTATTGCTTCCTAAGGAGACATAAGTACTTAATTTTTGTCATTAACACACACTCAACTCAATTATGTTTTATCTTAAATTTTAATTATTTACAAAGAAGAGGAAGGGTAAGCTCTTTTTCTAGAAAAGTTCCCTATGGGCAAGTATAACGTAAAGTTGGCATAGAACTGCGTGGGGTAATGAAATCGAGACACCTGCCTTTGCCTGCTTACGCTGGCCATGACGTTATTGCCTCACGAGGCATTTTCAGGCATTTGTTTTGGATTTCAAGTTTGTCAGTCAATTCAATTGTGAACACGTCTTCTAATCAAAGCCTTTAATCAAGACGTGGCTGGTATGCATGATAGTAGGTTGCAGTTTGACTACGACATTGTGTGTGCAAGGGCGGAACTATAAATTTTTCAACGGGTGGGCTAGCTAAAGTTATTAGCTTTAAAATTTAGTGATTATTTTTTTTTGGTACTTACAATTTCTATAGTCTTTCTAGAAATAAAAGTAAACATTAAATCATATAAACCAAGCTAGTTCATAGCTCCATAGACTAATTTTCAATAAGTTTTAACATAAACTAAATAGGGTTTAACATCATAGTGGATTGAACATCTAAGATTTTTTTACCTAGATTGATCTTAGGTTCTTTCATGCATTCATATTATAGATGAAAAGTTATTTTATGTAAAAATATTGACTAAGTATGAAAAATGGGTTTTCGAAATAATCATTTTCTTAAGATAATTTTTGGCGGCTTTTATTCCTTACACATCAAATAAGAAAACTTGATTTTATGGGATTTTAGTATGAAGTATATATTGACTTAATGAGCCATTATTTTTAGCCTAAATCGTATTTTGCACTAAAACCGATTTTTCATATTTTGATTTAGTGGGAATTTGATTTTCTAGTATTTTTATTTGAATCCAAATGGGGGGTACTTCCTTATTTACATTGTAAACTTAAGTAAATGGAGTAATATAAAAATAAATAAAAGTAAAATGACAAAGACATTTACTTAAATGTTGAAAATGGAAATAAGGTAATCTGTACAGCGCCACTAACTGGGCTAATACTGAAAATAAGTTAAATATATATATAAGTTTTATATTTTTTTCTTAAAAAACCACACTGGGCTACAGCCTACTGTAGCCCTTAGTGTGGTTCCGCCCCTGTGTGTGTGTCTTCTTCATTTCTAAATGTGACAAAAATAACATTAATTTACAAATTAATAGTCTTAGATTCGAGACCACATAACATCGTAATCGTGTTGTGTGTGTAAAAAATCTCATTTCATCTATATTTTAGACTTACTAAAAAAAATCAATTAAAGGCTGCAATGCACAATAAACATATATAAATCTCCCCTATTGGGTTTGACGGCCCAGTCCTAATCAAGTTCCCCTCCAAAGGTCAATCCCAATTTACTTCCCCTCCAAAGGCCCAATCCTTAATAAACCAGAAAATGACAAGCCTATAATGATGTTAGCCCGAGCCCAATACATTATCCACCCGAAAATTGTAGGGGTAATTCAGTAACTTAATTGGGTGGAACCACATAAACCTCATCTTCAATTCATCAGTCATCACACTGCATCATCCGCTCCGTCGTTTCTCTTCTCTTCCAAAAACGCACAGAAATGGCGCTCAATCTAACCAACACATTCCTCCAAGGAAGACCCTGCCCCCCAGTCCTTCCTCCCAAGAAGGTAAAATTACCCAATTACCCAGATTGAATTCATTTCATTCAGCAACCTCGGCTTTACGAATTTAATTTTGTATTTCCAGGTTTGTGGTGGTGGTGGGCTGGGGAATTGCCGGCCTGTGGTGACGTGCAGGAAGAAGGAGATACACCCGCAGTTCTACGAGGACGCGAAGGTGTACTGCAAAGGTGAGCTGGTGATGACGACTGGTGGGACCCAGAAGGAGTACGTGGTGGACGTGTGGTCGGGCAACCACCCCTTCTACCTCGGAAACCGGTCGGGCATGCTCGTCGACGACGACCAGGTAGAGAAGTTCAGGAAGAAGTACGGAGAGCTCACTCAGATCATGGATATCCCCGTGCTCAAGGGAGAGATTGTTCTGCCCTCTAGGCGCAAAGCCGCAGCTGGTAAAGGGGGCAAGAAGAAGTAGAAAGAAGCTATGCTTTGATTGCTTCTTCCATGTAAGCTTGTAGGTAAATTTTACAAATTGAAGCTTGAAAGCGTGTGTTTTTATGAAAATGGAGTAAAATTCAATTCCTATTCTGTGCTTGTTATGTTAATATCCGTCTTATTTTACTAATAACTTGCATTGTGGAGTAGTGTATTGATGAGAATATAATTCATTGTTTTGGGGTCTCACGCACCATTTCCAAGTTGAAAGCTAAACTAAGCTTGAATCTGTGTAAAGAATGCTAGTTTCCCCTGTGTGTAGTGTATGTATGACTTAAGTTCAGAAAAGGAAAATATTTAGCAAGGTCTTTTTAATCAGAGTATACAGTATAGATATAACTGGTACATTGATGGGACTTTGAGATGGTGCTGAGGTTAAGCTTAGACTACATTAGGGCCCTTGATGAATATCAGAATATTTGATTCCAGGGCTGTTTTAGTGACGTCTGTTGATGGTTTTTTTGGTTCAACGGGGAAGAGAAATCTTGTACCCGTGAATTTTGTTAAGAAGATGATGATATTGGCCTCTTAATTAAAACTGGGAACCCGATTTCTTCGATTCGGGAGCTCATGTTGTACTGGAGATCTCACAGCAGTGCTGTTTTTTCTTCTCCTTTTCATTTCATTGTTGGATTCAAAGCATTGATGTTTTTTTGTTCCCCCATTCTTTTCCGCCATGAATTCCTTTACGTTACAGGTTATCTACAATTAAAGCAGGGAACCAAACAGAAGAAGAAGTAGCAGCAGCAGTGCTGTGCGTATTTTTTTAACAAAGTGCGGCAAAAAGTTACATTGAGGATGTTGTTTTCAGCTGACCAGTGTCGTGGCTGACTTATTTAGTGGATACTAGGCTCACTCTAGCGTTTCTTTGTATATATAACCGGATATATAAGAAAGCTTGAGGTTCGAGATGCTGCTGACTGCTGCTGTGGTTGATCACGAATCAACATCTAAAGTAGCAGAAGCATGCAAACCCTGGGAATTGAGCGTGACAAGCTCCACGCAAAGCACCTTCCCAGTTCCTGCATTGACGGTTGCAGTTTCTAGTGTTCCCACAAAACCCTGACCATGTTTTACTACGCCTTTGACAGATTCTTGCTTCCAATATTGCTACTTCTGCATCTCACGAGTCATAAACAAATGCCAACATAGTAAGAATTTGAGCATCACAACCCCCCCAAAACAGACACAAGTTTACGAAAGAAAGGAATAATATATCCACGGAGAATTTTTTTGGAATAAGATGATTATGGCATACCGGTTGATGCAAGAAAGATAAAGAGGAAGAGAAAGAGGATGGGATAAAACAGTAGATGACTGAGTAGCTTAGCCATTTTTGCCTATCCTATTCTGAAAGTGAAAGATGGGGTTTGGGTTGCTGGTGAGCTGATTTGATGTTATTTATAGGCTGACAGGTGGATCAATTCTTTTAAGCCCTGTTTGGTGGGCTGGCTTGGATTGGTTAGGATGGACTTTGAAGCATTGGATTGGACTGGCTTGGACTGGCTAGGCTTTGAGTCCAGTCATATTCATTTTTGCACCAAACAATAGACTAAAATTAACTTTTTTTTTAAATAAATCAATATTTTATTTTATTTTTATTAACAATAAAATGAAAAATTCCAACTTTTTGCATGAATGCCGTACTTGTTTTTTTTTTTCTTCAAAATCTTTCTTCCTCTTCTTTCAGTATCTTTTTTTTTTTTTCCTAGTCTAAAATTCCTCTTTATCTGATAAACTTCAACTTTTCTTTTTGGCGAGGAAAAAGGTAAACCCCAACAACAGATCATCCTCCAGCATAAAGGAATCAACCCACACTGGAGCAATATCAAAATAGTAAACCACCCAAAATTCATATTTTAAAAAAAGATATAAAGAACAAACAGAGAAATCAGTTTTTAAAAAGAAAAATCAAAAGAGAGAAGAGATGAGAGATGAGAGATGAGAGAGGAGAGGGGGGAGAGAGTAGAGACGACCAGAAGTGGCTGAGGGAGACGACATTGAGGAGAGGACGCTGGAGACGACACAGAGGAGATGAAGCGAATGAAGAAGACGACGAGAGGTAGTTTTCGAAACCCATGTCTCTACGTGGGTTTTGATATCCAGCGTATGCTGGATTCATATCCTAAACAAAAATTTAAGTCCAAGCCAGTGTGTGATGTAATTAAGCTCACCAAACAACAGACTAGACCTATGTCCATTTTAATTGAAAAAGTCTTATCCAGTCCAGGCTACCAAACAGGGCCTTAGGTTATAGTAATGTGATGTGAACTAGAATCATAGATTTACACTAGATCAGCTTGAACATGTCATAGAAGTCCATATGCAATCTGATAGGCATGAACAGGCATGCGTGACAAATTCGGCTGTAATACTGTTCGTCATTGTTTTTGCGATGTATCTAATCCAAGGGACTTGCCTTGATTTTTGACAACTTAGCCACTCCAGACTTCGAATAATCACGACATGATATGTGAAAGAGTACCAGCAGCATTGTGATATAAAATGGCAACTAAAAGATTTTAGTTAGTCGAGGAATGGCAACATAACAACCCCAACTATAGGCTTGGTGGGTGTATTGCCCTCTGTTTAGGGTTTTGAGAGTTCATCATTGGGAAAGATATGAGCCTTAGGCGATCTTAAGTAGTGGGCTAAACTCACATATTTTGTCATTTGATATCCAAAAGTTATCTTCATTAAGTGGGCTAAACCTGACATGTCACTGAGTCAAACCTAGTCAGCAAGTTGAAGAGACCAAATGCTGAGCCAAACTTAACATAATTCATGGGTAGGCTATTTTCGGCATGCTGACATCAACTAGCCGTTATTATTAATTATTTTCAAAAACATCCAAATTTTAAATTTTTTTAAAAAATTCTACCTCAATTCTACATAATTTCCCACATTCTTTTCATCCTCCCTTCTACATACTATCTTTACTCTTTTTATCATTCTACATAATTTCCCACAATTTTTTCATCCTTTGCATATTATCATTCCCTTCTTTTATGCAAAAATTGTCCTCCTCATCTAAAATGTAATTTAAATAGGGTCTAAGTAGTAGTTTAATTAAATTAACCAATATATTTAAAGAATACATTAAAAAAAATTAATAAAATATTGAAGGGATTATGATATAGCCATGCACTACTAGATACGGTAAAAATATAGCCCATCATTATTCTTTAAAAATCTATAAATAGTGGGTTAAATTTTATGAATGGGATATGTTTAGCCGTCCTCGGCTGGGGATGTCCTTTTACCCACTCTGTCGCTTATCTTGAGACCCATTACAAACTTACAGCCGAATTCACTGTACTTGGAAATTTTTTTTTGGGTCGACAAATACGTGTATTTAAAAGGCCACTGACCAAAGCAACAAAAAGAAGACACATCACCCATGAATGAAGAGACATATGAGTCCCAACCGGAAAAAGAAAAAGATCAAGAGAAATTGCTTCCCACTTCTCGAGTGCCTCTTTTTATCCAGGCCTTTTTTGTGAAAGTTCATGTGCCAATATTTAATCACGGAAAATTTCATAAAGCATAGCAACCATTTTGCCAAGGAGTGTTGCGTCCCGTGGAATTTGGTTAAAGTGCGCTAATTCAACCAAGTCTTCAACCAACCAACCAACTGAATTGCACATTATTCATGATAGTCTAAACTAAAGTGATGGTATAAATTAATTAACTAATTAGACCAACCATCATGTGATTTCTAAGTTCTCCTTTCTAATTTTCTAGGGCAGGAAAGATGACCATGCATCAGATAATGATCGGTGGCTTAGGTTACTGGGACACAGGGGAGGTCGGAATTTCGATATCAAATTGGAGAGTTATATATAGCCAATGGGTCTATACCTTAATCCCTTACCTAATTTACAGAAAGATGAATTTGAACTTGAATGCAAAAGAGTACGCAATTTGACGTAACCCATAAACGTAAAAAAGGGAACTAGAATCATGGGAGAGGGTCACGTGAAATGGCTACAATTACTTGGGCTAAAGTTAACTCTGGTCTGGAGTCCGGAGTAGTTGTTCTTTTATTTGTATCCGTCAATGTTTCATGGGCTTCTTACCAAAAACAAAATTAAAAACTCTTTCATGAGTTTCTTCGTCTCCCCCCACCTACCCTACCGGTTTGTCTTGTCCCCCAACTTTGTTTACTCTTTTTGGTTGTGGATGGTGAATGAATGAATAAAAATATTCTGTTATTATTCTCAAAAACTAAAGACAAGTAAATGTTCGTACAAGTTCATAATGTATATTTTTCCAAGTCGGTAGTTGTTTTTTATTTTATTTTTTTATTTATAACATAACATTATAGTTACTTCTTTTTATCAAGTTAGACTACTATATTAATTAATTAATATTAGCGAGGGAACACAAGACGTATTGGCCAATGCATCGTCGTTCTTTTTGGAAAAAAATGCTACGTGGGAAGCTCCACTGGGCCATGGGCCATGAATGCTTCCGCTGGGTCCCAGTCGTGGTTGGGTTGGGTTGGGTCTCTACGAGTCTACTTACCCCTTCCTCTTCACATAAAGCAGGCTAGGCTAGAAAATACTACGTTGGGTCCGCAGTACTTAATTATTCTTATTCTATACACAAAACAGTATTAACTTAACTTGCTCTCCCTGTTTTTATATCCACAAAAGCAGAGTTTGGGAATTTTTGAACCAAAAATAAAATAGGAAAAAGCGCATGAAATGATTATAATTAAGAGGAGGAGCTTTATAAAAACGGCAACATATCAGTCTCAATGTCTAAGTTTCCCTCTCACAATTTTTACACAGTCCAATAGAAAAACACAAGCACACATCATGCAGAATATTTGATTCTCTGACACTCCAATTCTTTCTTCTTCTTGCTCTGATTTCCCGGAAAATCTTCCATTCTCTCCGTCCCTTAATTCCTTGCCTGAATTATTTCTCAACCCACCCCCGAAACTCCCCTATAAATACAACATCTCTATGTGATTTATTTTCGTCGCATCCGTTCACAAAACACCCACAAACTCCACACTCCAATTTCCTTTCTCGTCTGGAAGCCAAGCCATGGATTCACACCACCAAACTTTTTACGACGTGACGGCGGAGAAAGCCATTGCCTTGAAGAAGTACCGCCGCCACCAAAACGTCAAGTCGGTTCTGACGGCGTGCGTCGCTCTTGCGCCTCTCTTCTTCACCCTATCCCGCTCCTCCGTGCTGCTTCCGGCCGCCGCACATTTATTCGGCGGCGTTTCCCGCGAACTCCATGTGGTCTTCTATAACCGCTTCTATGTTTTATCGTTGGTCTTGGTGCTACTTGTCGCAATTTCATCTTTGTACCGCCGAAACGACGCCGACGATGACGACGACTATGCTCGATCACTCGATTTCTACAACGAGTTCGGCGTCAACAGCGTGTATTGCCAGAGTATCGTCCTCGGTGAGGGAGTGTATCCGGAAACAGAGACGGAGAATTGCCGGAGCACCTTCGTCGGTGAAGGAGTTCATCCGGAAACAGAGACGAAGGCGAATTCCCGGAGCATCGTCGCTGACTCAGGGGAGTGTCCAGAAACAGAGACGACGGTGGAGGAGGTGTTGTTGGAGGTTGAGAAACAAATGGCATCGTCTGATGAGAATGCGGTAGCGCTATCTCCTTCAGTTGATAGCCAGGAACCGGTTACTGAAAGGAAAAGCAGTTGTGTCCCTCCGGTTGCTGCAATTACTTTGGTGGAGAAGGAGAAGCGGTATCGGAGGACTCAATCGGGGAGTTTCGAGAAGAAGAGAATGTGCGGGTCTGAGAGTAGTAAAAGAGTTATGCAGCGATCGGAGACAGAGATTCACCGGAAAACGATGAGTTGCAGGGAAGAGTCGGCAAGGCGATGGAGCTCTGTGGAGGTGTTGAACGACGAGGAATTCAACCTTAGAATACAGAAGTTCATTGATGAAAACAAGAGAAATCAGCGCGAGGAAGAGATGGAGAGCGAAAAGCGTAGGAAAGAAGAAGAAGAAGAACGAAGAAAAACAGAGTATATCAATAGTTTATCAGAAGAATTCATTAATAACATGAAGAAGAGTCAGATGGAAGAGAGCAGGAGAGAGGCAGAAGAACGAAGAAGAAGAAGAGAGGGCAAAATCAACATGGCTGTTTTATCTAGTTAAATTATTTATCATCAGTAATTAATTAACTGATGCTCCTTTGTGAAGTAGGATGAGGTGATTTGAGTACGAATTAGTATTTCACTACTCTGCAGATTATTATTATTGTCTCCAATCTCAACGATTTACAAGTAAATAAAATCTGATCGAGTTTGGCTTTTTGACATACAAACACTCATGTGCAGTTCTGTATTCATTTGCAATTTCAGAATTTATCTTTTTGTTTTCTTTTCCATTATATAATTACAATATGAATGAATGATTCCACAAAGAATTTGTAGTTCAAGTGATTAAAAATATCTATTTATCAATGCACTCGTGCTCCTAAGTTTGCTCCCCTTTTTCGATATCGATTGTATCAACGACAACAAAATATGAATGAATAGTTCCAAACT